GAGAGAGAGAGAGAGAGAGAGAGAGAGAGAGAGAGAGAGAGAGAGAGAGAGAGAGAGAGCGAGAGAGAGAGAGAGAGAAAGCGAGAGAGAGAAAGAGATCGGGCGGCGTCATGTAAAAAAAACACTGAAGAGGAGGGAAATGACCATTGCTCTTTCTCCGGTGTGCGCCGCCACCGCCGCCGCCGCCGCCTCACAAACCACAAGCGCTATACAGAGCAATCACACCGGCGCAAAATTGATTCCGTCGTCTTCGGCGAAAAAGCAATGAAGGTTTGTGCAAACGCCGTACTTCCGTTTCGCTAGAACGCCGACAGGAAACGTGTCGCCGTCTTCGTCGTCGACGGCGTCGTGTATAAGAGCGGACGTCGGACACTGTATGGTCGTCGATACACGCGCTTTCTCGCGAGGCGGGAGGTTTATAGAGCTTCAATCACGGATACAGCTTCGCAACGATCTCTCTCTCTCTCTCGTAACGCAAAACTTCTTCTCGATCGCTGTAACGCACGCTGAGTAGCCACACGCAAACACACACAGAACTCGATGTCGGTATATTTTTTCACGGTATTTATTGTACAATAAGTTTTAACATGAAAAAGTACAAATATTGCAATACAACCAAACTACATGACACAACAACAGCCGGCCACTTTTTTCGTTTTTCACAGGTTTTTGCTCTCGACGAAACGGTCGGTTAAACCAGTCGCAGTGTGTTTACTAGAGGGGGCGAATGTGTGTACGAAACGCTTTATCGGACTCGCAACGTCACTGCAGGTTAAATGGTAAAGAGTGATCAAACGAAAAACTAAAATTTAACAAAGCCTAGATTAAATATAATCGAAATACTTGTGGGTACGCGTCGGCCTTCTCTCGTGCACCGTTAATGGACTCCCTCTTCTCGCACGTCGCTGTCATTGCTACAATCACAACGTGCCTACAATTGCTATAGATGACAACCGCTCAAACTCGAAAACTAACCGATCACAACGAAAGCGTTGCCCCGCGGACCTTACTCACGAAAATGATAACACTGTCCACACACAATCATCAGTAAACAGTAACCTTAATCAACTAAGAGCAAAAAGGCTATATAATACGTCAAAAAGCCTAAGAAGGGAAGAGAAAGGAACTAGTGTTTTTAAGTAGTCACCGTTAAGTAAATCGTAACTACAAACGAACATTGAATTAAACGGGTATACGATAAGTAAAGAAATAAGCTTAGTGCACGACACGTAGAAGCTGGCAGCACGCCAAGCATGGAGCACGCCACTCAAAAATACATCTACACACTATGAGCGCGTCAGAAAACGGGGCCCGAAATCTGCCGTGAAGTTCACAGAACCTTGTGATAGCTCGTATTTCCGGTCAAGCTAGTGGACCGTTCTACGTGCTCCACACCTGCAGTGGTTCAGCTTAGATAAATATAAATGAGAATTCCGTGTTTTTCCGAAAAAAGACAACTGTTTTCAATACAGCGTGGCATGTGCTGATACAGACAAACAAAGGAAGGGGAATTGGGCAACAGTGCAAAATCAACACCTTCATCACCCTTTACGATTTCCTACGCACCAGGGGTTGTGAATGACTAGGACAAAATCTTTGGTTACGTATAGACTTTAAAAAGACGTAGCTGTCCTCATCAGCACAACCACGCACGCCTCCACTGCCGCGCCAACCTCATCCTTATACCAGCTGCTCACATCTGCACCTCCAACCGACCAGTTACAACTGTCAAGTTGAGAGATAGTCGCGTTTGACCGCACTCATTTCCAACCTCCACGTATAGTCAGCACTACGTCACGGGTCACGTGGTTTGCGTGATGACGTCGGCGCAGCGGTCATATCTCGTGCGCACGCTACTACCTATGCGCATGCGCACTCGCATACATTGTCAGAGGCACGACAGAACCCCGCAGCGGGGGGAATGCACGACCGTGCATCTTAGAACAGCTAGCCAGCATATAAACATACCCTCTCTTTGGTTTTCACATATTGCACAGCAGTGGTCCCAAAGGGCACCCCTGCTCAACCCCCAACCTTTGCCAGTGTTGCCCTAGCAGTTTCCCAACGAACATACTAACGGCTGACTGTGTAAATAGGAATGCTTCTTAGCTTTATCAAACTATATATACAGAAATGGTTAAGCGTCTGTATACAGTAAATATATCTGCTCCTAACAGCACCTTTGTCGTTCAATCTTATTTAAAATTTCATATTGATGCAATTTCATGGGAAATAGTTATTTTGCTTGCCTTCTGCATAATTATTTACTCTCTTTTAAACACAACACTAAATTTGAATAGAAATAAGCCAATATCATACAACAACAATTATAATTACGTATATTAATGCAACAATATACCGGTCAAAACACTTTGGAAAACTGTCTTAAAATTTGCTACTCCAAAACTTATACTTATAGCGAATAGAATTTCCGGCCCACATTTAACAGGGCTATACTCATGAGTTGAGGCTTACAAAATGTCTGATACTCTGCTGGAATGGCAAGGTCACGCATATATAAAACCCTTCTTTGGGCAGCAACCCCCTGTTCCCTGTCGTAAAAAGGGACTCAAGCAAAGCACTAGTCTAGAAACATCAGCTCTCTCTCTCTCTCTTTCTCATTCTCTCACTGGTCTGCCAAAACATCATTAGGCTGATCTCCAGGAATGTTGTGACAATATAAATTTTAAATCTTTCTTTTTCTTCTAAATATATCATGATCACATCATTCAAGTACCCTTTGTGGGGAAAAACAGATATCAAAGATTGTGCCTTGATTATCTAAACATATACTGGCAATACATCATTATATACATCTCATCTCAAGTCCGAAATGCATATGAAAAAGTTAATTTCACTGCACAATATCATATAGTTCTCAGTGCATGGTCACAATTAGAGCCGAGCTGGAATCCGGCGCGCTCGCGGGGCGGGGGGAGGGGTGGGGTCGCCTGCACGTGTGCGTGCTGCTGCCAGCCCCCCCGGCAGCAGCGACCCTCGCCTGTCGACGACTGCTCAGGGAGACCAATCGGTCGGCATTTGATGCCGGACAAATAAATACATCTTTATTGCAAAAAACGTGTGGGAGCCTTTCAGAAAGGCGTCCCGCGCACATGACGACAACTCGGGCGCCCCGCGCCGCCCCCGCGCCGCCCCCCCGCGCCGGATCCGCATCCCGGCCCACGGTATGGAAGAACGTTTACAGTGCATCGTCATCTCAACTGCTATGAAAGCAATACTTCGGGTTCAATAAAGACAGTTGTACGCCCCACCCCCAAAGACTACAAAGGTTGCACCCATTTAACCCACGTTTGCAGCAGTACAAAAATAGAGCCTTTCATGGAAGTTGAAGATGTGGCATTGCCGAGAAAACCACCCCCTGTAACCATCGCTGCAATCACGCACTCTCGTACCGCATGGCTACCACGCGTCGCAATTCGAACTCGAGCAAACCGCACTATCCAGAAGATGAGCGAATGTGAGGGCCCGCACCAATATAGGCAGAGTGAAATGAAAGAAATAAGCCGACAGGTCTGCAAAGCAGTCAAATGATACCGACACCATCGCCAATAAAACTCATTCCATCATAATAAAGTCAGAAACCAAACGGAGTAATTATTATTAACTATACCCTGCTGCTGCCACTATTACTAATACTAATACTAACAACGGTCAGTCGAAAATAATAAGGTGTAAAACAGATCAATGGACGACGTTAAATAAAACCCTGTTTTTTCTGGCATGCTAGAAAAACCAGCAACAAAAAAGTCACGAACTAAACCAAATACTGTTTAATACGTAAACAACACTGAAACGAAAAAGCTGTAAACAACCACGGGAGTGTATGAATAATAAATAGGACTAGTCGCCTATAGCCGCTAAAATAAATACTAATAATCATACATGTAATAAGTCCATGTACATAAATATGAAGGAGGCTGACTGGGGTCCGTAGCTGTCTAGTGAGCATCTCCTTACTTGAATATACTATCTGAGATCATCACTCTCTTGCTGCCTAGCAGGACCGTGTCGCCAACGACTCCCTGCATTGAATGAACACTGCTGGATACCCTGCCTGAACTGTGCACAATTTTAAAAACCTGTGCAAAAATATGAGATCGTGGGAAAGCTGGAATCCCGTCGCGTGCGGCTCTGTAGCCATTCCTCTCTCCCGCTCTCTTCTCTGGCCCCCACTCTGTTCATATCCTCGCTCTCGCCGCGGCTGTAAAACCAATGCTCCGTCCGTTCTTAGTTTATCAGTGTTTACAGCTATTTACAGTGGAGTTTAAAATTTCCTTCACACCGCAAATTGGTCTTGCAGTAGTAGTTAGTTCGTCACGTATTTACAAAACAGATTCCAGCTTCCCCCGGCCGTCTCTCAATGGCGTGCAGCCCGTCTCTCGTCCCGTCAGTTTCCCCAAATATATTCCTACCTAAACCAACTCTGCGCAGAAAATTACAACTGAAACAATGTGTGCCACCGACGTTCGCAAATTAAAATTAATCCTTACCCTACGGTTAAATTGTGAAGGCTGTCATAAAATGGTCGCCACGCCGCAGCGCAAACCTCTACGCCGCGGCTCTGCGTGCTAACGTGCCAAACCTTAAATCGCGAACGATACGACGAGCGAAAGAAAACACATCTCACCTCTCCAAAGTTCCTGCTCGAAAAACCGATAATGTAACAACATTAAATAAGAGTGAAAATCTAAAACTCCGACTCAATCTAAACATAATCTTCTTTGCCAACGAGCGTCTCCTCCTCTTGATATATATGCGGGAAATCAAACATGCTTTAAATCTGCTGTCCTCCTCGAGATTTGTACCCTCGCATTCTGTTTCTTCCACTCACACTCGCACGCTCACTCTCACGCACTCTCTCACGCGCTCTCTCGTTCCACCTCTCACTCTCACCTTTTCTATACAACGTGGAATGGCATTTCTGCCTCACAAGTGTCCTATCTGGCAATATCACATTAGATTCCACCTTTTTTAGTTCGGTTCTCGCTCTCGCACTCTCTCCTCCCCGCTCGCTCTCCCCCTCTCCCTCTCCGACTGACTAGTCCCCCTCCCTCCCGCCCCCGGCGCGGGGGGAGGTCACTGCTTGCGCGGCACCGACCCGGGCTTCTTAAACGACACCTGCAGCACGCGGTTGCCGAGCGCGTATCCGTTGAGGCTCTGTATGGCGACGACCGCCTCGTCGTAGTTGGTCATTGTCACGAAGCCGAAGCCCTTGCACTTCTGCGTGTTGAAGTCGCGGATGACCTTCACGTTCTGCACGGCGCCGAACGGGCCGAACAGCTGCCAGAGGATGTTCTCCTCCGTCTCCGGCGCCAGGTTGTAGACGAAGATGCACCAGCCGGCGCCGTTCGGGATGTTTCCCGTGATGAGGCTGTTGGTGAGCATGTCTCCGGCGAGCGGCGAGTACCTGCGCGAAGCCATGAAGCCGGCGTCAGTGTGACCGTTCCAGCTTCATCTCTCTCTCTATCTCTCTCTCTCTCTCTCTCTCTCTCTCTCTCTCTCTCTCTCTCTCTCTCTCTCTCTCTCTCTCTCTCTATCTCTCATGCAGGCTGGTGGAGGACACCTACACCAGCGATGAGATTGCTGAGATGCTAGCGGGTCTGCAGGCGGTCGTGCCCTGCTCCCCCTACTTCCCTCTCCTTCCATCCCTCTCCCCTTCTCCTCTTCCCTCCCCCTCTTTCTCTGTGAGTCAGTGTCTCTCTATCTCTCATGCAGGCTGGTGGAGGACACTTACACCAGCGATGAGATTGCTGAGATGCTAGCGGGTCTGCAGGCGGTCGTGCCCTGCTCC